ACCTTCAACACACAGGTTACTACAACAAACAAGACCTTCACCAACACACAGGTTACTACAACAAACATGACCTTCACCAACACACAGGTTACTACAACAAACATGACCTTCACCAACACACAGGTTACTGCAACAAACAAGACCTTCACCAACACACAGGTTACTACAACAAACAAGACCTTCACCAACACACAGGTTACTGCAACAAACAAGACCTTCAACACACAGGTTACTACAACAAACAAGACCTTCACCAACACACAGGTTACTGCAACAAACAAGACCTTCACCAACACACAGGTTACTACAACAAACAAGACCTTCACCAACACACAGGTTACTGCAACAAACAAGACCTTCAACACACAGGTTACTACAACAAACAAGACCTTCACCAACACACAGGTTACTACAACAAACAAGACCTTCACCAACACACAGGTTACTGCAACAAACAAGACCTTCAACACACAGGTTACTACAACAAACAAGACCTTCACCAACACACAGGTTACTACAACAAACAAGACCTTCACCAACACACAGGTTACTGCAACAAACAAGACCTTCAACACACAGGTTACTACAACAAACAAGACCTTCACCAACACACAGGTTACTGCAACAAACAAGACCTTCAACACACAGGTTACTACAACAAACAAGACCTTCAACACACAGGTTACTACAACAAACAAGACCTTCAACACACAGGTTACTGCGACAAACACGCCCTCAGTAGTGTAAGCCAGGCCTACGACCGTCTGTGGTCCACGTCGTGACGGGCGGTCGTAGGCTCGCTAACATTTCCCGTGAATAACATCAACAATTTATCCCCAAAAGTTAGTTCTAGTCACACATTTTTTCCAGTCACTTTAGTTTTCCCCCAATATTGTTTAATAATTATTCAAAGACGTATTGTATTTTATGTATAAGATTTCTTATTAATATGAAACTTTTATTTTTATTGTGTAGTCCAGCCAAAGATGGTTGTTAATTCTCATTTTCAAAGACAGTTTATTGCTTCCCATTTTCGTTAACTGCACATTTCTAGCAAATTGTTCGTTAAATGGTTGTATATTAGGCGCAGGTATGATATTACAGGACTATTTGGTCCTCGGCGCATCTCCTGTTTATACCCACCCATGTTAAGACAATCATGTAGCACATCTAACAAATATCATTAATAATAATAACAATTCATTGTGTTGGGGACAGGCAGCCAGTGTATATATACAGTACATGTTATGCTTATAACCAGGTCTCCCCCGGCCCCCTCCCCAGGGTCCAATTACTAACCTTCCCCCCCCCCCCCAAGGATGCAACCCCTCAACAAGCTGACCAACTTCTGGGTGTCTATATACTGCTAGGTGAACAGTACATTAGGTGATAGGAAACGCGCCTAACCATTTCTATCCCGCCCAGCATTCGAACCCGTAATTCTCGATTGTGAGTCGAGAACGAAGCCGAGTGTACTACCGAGACCCCTCAGTATAACTGCAGGAAGCGTGTTGACATGTATTCATACCCTCGTTGATCTCTTGTCCTGATCAGTCAAAACATAACACAAGGTAATGCAGTTCTTGATGTCCTAGAACTGCATTACTGGCATTGAAGCAGCTGCAGCTACTGCAAGCCACCAGCTTGCAGTAGCTTGCAACCGGTTGCAGTTCTTTTAACCATGTCGTGGTGCAATCGACTAAGGCGCATCTGGAATTATCTCAGACGTAGGTTCGAACCCTCATCACCGCCCTTGTGGATTTGCTATATTCAAGTCAATAACCCAATTTTAGCTAACCTAACACACACACACACACGCATACACACATGCTAACGCGCACACACACAAATGCACACGCATGTAAGGAAAGAACTTTTTCAGTGTCAGAGTAGTTAACAGACGGAATGCATTAAGCAGTGATGTGGTGGAGGCTGACTCCACACACAGTTTCAAATGTAGATATGATAGGAATCAGGAATCTGTAGACTCGGGAATCTGTACATCAGTTGATTGATGGTTGAGAGGTGGGACCAAAGAGCCAGAGCTCAACCCCCCTGAAGCACAACTAGGTGAGTACGCACACTCACCCACAGAAGGTGATATGATCACCACTTACAAAATAATAACAGAAATAGACCAAATTGACAAAAAGGAATTCCTGAAACCGGCAACTTCAAGAACAAGAGGACACAGATTCAAGCTAAGGAAACAAAAGTGTCGAACAAATATTAGAATTTTTTTCATTTGCAATCAGAGTATCAGAGTGGTAGACGGTTGGAACAAGTTAAGTGAGAAGGTGGTAGAGGCCACAATCATCTGTAGTTACAAAACATTATACGACAAAGAGTACTGGGAAGATGGGACACCACGAGCGTAACTCTCATCCTGAGACTACAATTAGGTAATTACACAAAAATACTAAAGTCATTGGAACCATTAATCATGGCATTGAAATCTCCAAGTTAGCAGTTAAAATTGGATCCATTACTTATTGTATTGAAATTTCCAGAGTTAGGAGATACAATAATCTTTAAAAAGTCAAAGATGTCACGCTAACTTGATCTCACCTGAACAAGTGTACAAACAAGAACAAACAAAAACAAGCAAAGACACGGACAAATTGTATTTAATGGAAATAATTTGGAACCAGTACCAAGCACCATTGAAATCTCTAACACAGCAAATATATTTATCTTCAAATTTTAGCAGGAGGGACTGTTAGTCTAACATGGCCTAACCTAACCTTTACACGCCTCTATGGAGCCTCTAACCTCTATGGAGTGAACACTCAGACGATGAGTCACAGTCACGTGACTGAAGATATAATAACCAAACCATACACCACAAGATGGAGAAACGACGACATTTCGGTCCCTCCTGGATTATAATCACGACGCGTGTGAGGAACCATTGCTTCAGTTCTCACACACTACTTGATAATGGCCCAGGAGGGACCGAAGCGTCGTGGTGCCTCCATCTTCCGGTGTGTCCTGGTCATCAAACATACTTTTTTCTAGAGCATCAAGGTAAGGTAATTATCAAAAGAAGGCACCAAACCGGGAAGGCTATGTAGCACCATCAAAGTGAGAAATAATAAGAGGGCGCTAAATATCACCAAGAATGCCAATACGAGAACAAAAACGCACAAGGCAAACGATATCAAAAGTATCTGATTCACCTAGAATTCTATTGAGAGACAAGCGACCGCGAGGGACGGTCGGAAAGCAAGACACACGCTCGTCCTGGAAGTCAGGACATTCAACAAGGATATGCACGACTGTAAGAGGGACAATGCAATTGGGACAATAAGGAGCAGGGCGACGCTCCATTAAGTGACCGTGGGTTAAGCGAATATGGCCAATCCGCAACCTTGCCAAAGCAGTTTCCCACCGCCGGTTACGGTGGTAGGAGGAAGGCCACGGGGACACACTTTATTTGAGAGTACGCAGCTTGTTACTAACTACAGAGGACCAACAACCCTGCCAACGGGCAAGGATGGAGGAATGAATAACAGGATAAAAGTCAGAATAAGGAAGACCTTTACGGGAGATGGGACAAGAACGGATAGCTTCCTTAGCGGCAGCATCCGTACGCTCATTCAAAGAGACACCAATACGGCTGAAAACCCAGCAAAACTCTACTGATTTAAATTTACTAGAAATAAGAAACAGCCAATGTTGAATCTCGATGACCACCGGATGGACAGGATTAAAGGACCCTAGAGCCATGAGGGCACTACGAGAGTCAACTACAACCACAAAGGAGGAATGACAATGAGAAAGCAAGAGACGGAGAGCATAGAGAATAGCATAAAGTTCTGCTGTGAAGACGCTAGCCTCCGAAGGGAGGCGACACATATCAGTGCGGTCAGGAAAAACAACAGAGTAGCCCACACCGTCCGCAGACTTGGACCCATCGGTGAAGATAGAAATAGAGTGGGAGTGGGAAGAAAAGTGCTCAAGGAAGAGGCTTTTCAGAATCGTAGAAGGGGTAAAAGCTTTAGTGACACAAGTCAAGGATGTACAAAACTTGGGAAGGGGGATTCTCCACAGAGGCAAGGAAGGAACAATATGAGGAGAAACATTAGAAATGTGAACAGAAAGAGAATCCTGTAAGCGAGATAACCAAACAGAAAGAGGAAGACGATGAAGAGGAACAGGAGCTACAGGAGGGGTAAAAGTCAAAGCACGACAGAGGCGAGAGGAAGGATGTTGCAAGGACCGCGCAAGATAGTGAAAACAGTAGCGATCACGGGGGTCCTGAAGAGAGAGGAAGCCAGTGTCAACATACAAGCTGAGGACGGGAGTCGAACGAAAGGCACCAGAACTGAGACGCAACCCAGTATGGTGCAAAGCATCAAGAAGGCAAAGAGTAGAAGGAGAAGCAGAAGAGTAAGCAGGGCAACCATAATCGAGTTTAGACAGGACGAGAGAGGAGTGCAAATAGAGGAGCGTGCGCGTATCCGCTCCCCAAGAAGTATGGGATAAAACCTTAATTAAGTAGGTTAAGGGCCTTAGAGCATTCAACTCGGAGGTAAGAGATATGGGGCGACCAAGACAAACGAGTGTCAAAGACTAACCCCAAAAGCTTAGCGGAATCCTTGTACACAAGGGGATGACCATAAAGTGACAAAGAGGGACGAAGAACTACATGCTTCCGAGTAAAAGTCATAGTACAAGTCTTAGACGTAGAGAACTTGAAGCCATGATCGGTGGCCCAAGACGACACGGCATCAATCTAGAGCATCAAGTTGCCTCAATGTCGAACCGCAATTTAGGAAGATCGTATATCTGGCAACTCAGCGGGATAGTTAGTGCCCACTTTATCTGTTGATGGCCCCTGTCAAGCCTAGTCAATCCCAAACTTCGACAATTACACACACACAAAAAATCTGCTCCATCAATCAACTACCCTGTTTCCAAACCCAACCGTCATGAAAAAGACACACATATGTAACGTATGTTTATGTGTACATATTTGGTTGATTAGACAGTTAAGGGATTTTTTTATTATTTATTTAGTATAGTCTTGGTTACAGCAGCCGGGTTGTTAGCAGTGTAGTGAAGTGTTGTAGTAGTTGAGACGAACTCTGGAACAGGGTAAAGAGCTGAGTGAGGCCGGGGTGGAGAGCCCGGATGTGGGGTGAGTGTGTGTGTAGTGTGTGGCGCTCAGAATGCGGACGGAGTCGAAGAGCTCCAGTGCTGGACGAGAGCGTTGAAGCTGGATGCGGCCGGAGTCTGGCTGTCTGCTCTTTGTCGAGGCCTCAGCGTCTTGTGAGGGCAGGAACTGGACACGACGAGTGTTGCATTGTTGCTGGTGAATGGTGAAGATGTGTGGAGTCTCTCAAGCATCTATACGAATTTAGACAGACTGACACTGTCGTTGATTAATGAAGATTAAGCCACCCAAGAGGTGGCACGGACATGAATAGCCCATAAACGCTGTCGACGCTTATATTAGGCTACCTATTTGTCGCTAGGTGAACAGGCTCATTTGCTGAAAGGAAACATGCCCAACCATTTCTGTCCCACTTGGGGATCGAACCCGGGATCCCTGATTGTATGTTGAGAACGTAGACCAAACATACGTTTTATTAATATGAAACTAATCTGAATTTGAAAAGTAACCTTTTGTTGACTTAATATTCAGCACATGACAGATATTGTTTTATGTCCTGATGGTTTATCTGTCACGGTTGTGCTTGAAGCAGGAGTCTGAGATGTTTGGCATTGTCTAAATCACAAAATATATACCTGTTAATGTCATAAATGTACTGCAACATGAGTGATATTCATTTGGAAGTGTGTTTGCGTCCCACAGGTCACCCGGCGACGAAGGCCTTCGTGACCCACTGCGGGAAACACAGTGCCGCCGAGGCGGTGTACCACGGGGTGCCGATGGTGGGCCTGCCCATCACCTTCGACCAGCCCAGGACCTGCGCCAGGCTGGCCCGCCGTGGCGAGGGCCTCGTCCTCCAGTGGGAGCACCTCACACCTCGCGCCCTCGTCGACGCTGTCCACACCGTCGTCAATGACACCAGGTACCTCCCGTGTCTTCCTTGTTTACACCCCCGTGCACGACGCCAGGTACCTCCCGTGTCTTCTTTGTTTACACCCCCGTGCATGACGCTAGGTACCTCCCGTGTCTTCTTTGTTTACACCCTCGTGCACGACGCCAGGTACCTCCCGTGTCTTCTTTGTTTACACCCCCGTGCATGACGCCAGGTACCTCCCGTGTCTTCTTTGTTTACACCCCCGTGCATGACGCTAGGTACCTCCCGTGTCTTCTTTGTTTACACCCTCGTGCACGACGCCAGGTACCTCCCGTGTCTTCTTTGTTTACACCCCCGTGCACGACGCCAGGTACCTCCCGTGTCTTCTTTGTTTACACCCCCGTGCACGACGCCAGGTACCTCCCGTGTCTTCTTTGTTTACACCCTCGTGCACGACGCCAGGTACCTCCCGTGTCTTCGTTGTTTACACCCTCGTGCATGACGCCAGGTACCTCCCGTGTCTTCCTTGTTTACACCCTCGTGCACGACGCCAGGTACCTCCCGTGTCTTCCTTGTTTACACCCCCGTGCACGACGCAAGGTACCTCCCGTGTCTTCCTTGTTTACACTCTCGTGCATGACGCCAGGTACCTCCCGTGTCTTCCTTGTTTACACCCCCGTGCACGACGCCAGGTACCTCCCGTGTCTTCTTTGTTTACACCCCCGTGCATGACGCTAGGTACCTCCCGTGTCTTCTTTGTTTACACCCTCGTGCACGACGCCAGGTACCTCCCGTGTCTTCCTTGTTTACACCCTCGTGCACGACGCCAGGTACCTCCCGTGTCTTCCTTGTTTACACCCTCGTGCACGACGCCAGGTACCTCCCGTGTCTTCCTTGTTTACACTCTCGTGCACGACGCCAGGTACCTCCCGTGTCTTCCTTGTTTACACCCTCGTGCACGACGCCAGGTACCTCCCGTGTCTTCCTTGTTTACACCCTCGTGCACGACGCCAGGTACCTCCCGTGTCTTCCTTGTTTACACCCCCGTGCACGACGCCAGGTACCTCCTGTGTCTTCCTTGTTTACACCCCCGTGCACGACGCCAGGTACCCAGGCGTCTCCTGCCTCCCTCTCCACCCCTCACTAACCTCACATGTGCTCCCTGCATCAGACGTCTCAGTCTGGAAGCAAAGAGAAGAAGCAAACAAGCACAGAAGGAATATAGAAAACACGCAACAGAAGAACGTCACAGGGCATACAAAGAGTACACAGTCACTAGGAGAGTGACAGAGAAGCTGTACACAGTCACTAGGAGAGTGACAGTGAAGCTGTACACAGTCACTAGGAGAGTGACAGAGAAGCTGTACACAGTCACTAGGAGAGTGACAGAGAAGCTGTACACAGTCACCAGGAGAGTGACAGAGAAGCTGTACACAGTCACCAGGAGAGTGACAGAGAAGCTGTATACAGTCACTAGGAGAGTGACAGTGAAGCAGTACACAGTCACTAGGAGAGTGACAGAGAAGCTGTACACAGTCACAAGGAGAGTGACAGTGAAGCTGTACACAGTCACCAGGAGAGTGACAGAGAAGCTGTACACAGTCACCAGGAGAGTGACAGAGAAGCTGTATACAGTCACCAGGAGAGTGACAGAGAAGGAGTACACAGTCACTAGGAGAGTGACAGAGAAGCTGTACACAGTCACTAGGAGAGTGACAGAGAAGCTGTATACAGTCACCAGGAGAGTGACAGAGAAGCAGTACACAGTCACTAGGAGAGTGACAGAGAAGCTGTACACAGTCACCAGGAGAGTGACAGAGAAGCTGTATACAGTCACCAGGAGAGTGAGAGAGAAGCAGTACAAGAGTAACATTACATACAAGACTATGTCCCTGCCCAAACTGTTCTATAGACACATCAGGAGGAAGATGACTGACAATGATCAGGTTATCACACTTGACAACAGTGAGGAAAGGCACATGGAAGATGATAAGGAGGTGTGTGAGGAACTTAACAAAAGCCTTCAGGAAGTATTCAAGCTGGAGTTAGATTTACCACTAGAGCTTTAGAGCTCAAACTGACCGGGTAAGGCGCCTCACTGAAGTAACAGTGACGCCAGAAGAAGTAAAGAAGTAACTGCAGCAACTGGATGTGACAACTGCCGTGGGACAAGACAATATATCACCCTGGGTACTAAAAGAGGCAGCGGAAGCGTTGTGCAACCCACTTGTCGCGATATTTAGTTCCTCTCTAGATACGGGAGAACTTCCTGACAGCTGGAGAATGGGTAATGTGGCATCAATCTACAAGTAAGGGGGAAGACAGACACCATTAAACTACAGACCCGTATCACTAACAACTAACCCCTACAAGTTGCTGGAGAGAGACTGACCAGAAGCACACTTCTACAACATTTAGAACAGGTCAAGTTTGTCTCAAGACACCACCATGGTTATAGTAAAGGAAATCTTGCTTGACAAACTTGCTGGAGTTTTACAACAAGATGACTGAGAGAAGGATGGGCAGACTGCATATTCCTTGACTGTCAGAAGGCATCTGATACATGAAAGACTCCTACTCCAGCTAGAGAAGCAGGCTGGAGTAACTGGAAGAGCCGTAAGGCGGGTCAGAGAGTACCTCTCAGGAAGGAAGCAGAGGGTTACAGTGAGAGCAGACACATCACAGTGGAGAGAGGTCACAAGTGGAGTCCCACAAGGGTCGGTGCTAGGGGCCCATCCTGTTTCTAATATATATGGCAAGGACCTGACCGAGGAAATTGGCTCCTTCATATCAATGTTTACAGATGATGCATAACTAATGAGAAGAGTCAGGTTAGGGTTATATTGTGATACATTAATAGAGCATTTGGACACCAGAAGTTGTCTGAAAAATGGCTGCTAGAATTTAACCCAGCCTAGTGCCAAGTGTTGAGGACTGGGGCAGGAGTACCGGAAGGTGAACAGCAGCATAAAGTGAAGGGGAGACAGTCTCTTCCGTCAGTAAAGGAGACAGACCTGAGAGTGGACATGACCCCAGACAAAGGTGATGCCAGAAGCCCACATTAGCAGAGTAACAACAGTTGTGTAAGTCATACTCCCCAACATCCGGGGATCCTTCTGACACTGGCACAAAGGGGGGGGGGGGCTTTCTCGGCCCCCCTTGTACAGCGATGGTCAGACCCACTCTGGAGTATGCAGCACCAGCATGGAACCCTCACCTCAAGGGGGGGGGGGGGAGCTTCCTGGGCCCCCCTTGTACAGCGATGGTCAGACCCACTCTGGAGTATGCAGCACCAGCATGGAACCCAAACCTGGAAAAGGACAAGGAGACACTAGAAAAGGTCCAAAGATATAACACGAGACTCATCCCGGAGCTGAGGAGATTGATTCATGAGGAAAGATTGAGAGAACTAGACCTTACCACACTGGAGGAAACGAGAGAGAGGTGGGACATGATGACAACATATAAGATTATAAGGGAAATTAACAAAGTAGACAAATCAGTGTTGTTCAGAGGAAGGAACAGCTGAATGAGAGGTCATAGATGGTAACTGAGATACAAATGAGTCATAGAGATATTAAGAAGAACTTTTTAAGAGTACTAAGTTTGGGTACATTTGGGTACTCAGTCTCCATCTGTGTCCCCTTGTTCGTGTTCCCCATGCTAAATAGTTTGTCTTTGTCCAACCCTGTCAATTCCCCTGAGAACTTTGTAGGTGGTTATCATGTTTCCTCTTACTCTTTTATCTTCCAGGGACGTGATTCTTAGCTCCTGTAGCCTTTCCTCGTAGCTCATACCTCTCAGTTCTGAGACTAGTCTGGTGGCATACCTCTGAATCTTCTCTAACTTTGTCTTGAGTTTAACTAGGTATGGAGCCCAGGCTGGAGCTGCATACTCCAGGATTGGTCTGACATAAGTGGTATACAAGGTCCTGAACGATTCCTCACACAAGTTTCTAAAGGCAGTTCTAATGTTGGCCAACCTAGTTTATACCGCTGATGATATCCTTTTGATGTGGGCCTCTGGGGACAGGTTCGGTGTGATATCAACCCCCAGATCTTTCTCTCTATATGACTCTTGCAGGATTTCACCTCCCAGATGGTACCTTGTGTTCAGCCTTCTGCTCC